ATGCACCGGCAGTATTTTTGACAGCGAAACGAGACACCGGGAGGCCGCGTATAGAGGGCATCGCATAATTTTTGTTTATTTAAATTGTCATACGAATGTTTCAGCTGGTACCGAAATTTTTTTAATTAAGCAGCGGCACAAGCAGAATTCAGGATGTAAAAGTTGAGGAGATCGGATAGTTTATGCATAGATGAATTAAGCACGCGTGACAAATTGAATAATCAAACGAAATAAATATGGGCGGCATAAAATTAATATAATCACTGTCTGTAAAGTGATCAAATAAAATAATATAATAAAATATTATAAATATATACGTAGCACAAAATTGATATAAACACCAGCTGTACAGTGACCATAAGTGATGAAGATTTTCCTTTCTGTAACGTAATGATGACACTTAGAGAATGCACCTCCGTTTTATATGCTTAACAGAGTTTTTACACCTAATCTCTGATGCTCTCTGGCGAGATTCAATGCTCCAAGAGCATACGAATCATTTCTCTGACCATTGGCTGCCATCTTCACCTCGCCGCTATCCCTAGAGAAATTTCCATGAAATATTGCGCTCAGTCACGTAACATGAATTGCGACCGTGGAATTTCCGATTCACTTGCCTTATGTTCGCGCATTTGCCCCTGAATTTCCACTTACGTGCGCCCGCTCTGTCCGAAGGATCGTGATTGAAAAATCTGAACAAGAAAAAAATCAAATAATATCTCGAAGAGAAGGATCTCTGCAGGCATCGTCGAGACACGAGATGTGCGCGACTACGAGTATTTCGATACACACATTTATTAAACATGCGTCTCGCGCTTACTACACGCGTCTATGAAATGCATTTTTAAAAGGTACCTTTCGCTAAACGGGCCCTGATCTCGCATAAACGTAATACATAATTCTATAAGGGAGACATATGGCAGGAATTTTGCAAATTTCCGTTTCTTCCGTGCCGTATAAATTCTCGACGCGTTAAAATGCATGCCGCCGGTCGGGCGGAACGACGTCTTTGGAAGAACATCTCGAAGTAATTTTTCTTTCCAGCAGCGAGTCCCGGCGAAATGGCTCCAGCGAAGCTGGTTGCGGGGAGATCGAGAGTCTCCGATTGTTTTTTTAGAATTTTTTGAGTTCACCTGCAGTGGCAGAGAGAGAGACAGACAGACAGACAAAGAGAGAGAGAGAGAGAGGGTCCGTGCGCCGCCGCCGTGCAATTTCAAACGTTACGATGTCCCCGGGGAAGCGAGGCTACAAAGTAATTTTTCCCTTGCTTCTCTCTCTCTCTCTCTCTCTCTTGCTCGCTCGCACGCCGGATATTCCCGGTGAAACTTAAAAGTGCCGCGAAACCCAGTTTGCCTTCTATGACCCCTTTTGACGCTCGCCTATGTAGTTCAAGTACTTGAATAACGAATGTAACGATGTTCCCAGCCCGTAACCTACGACGTTCTATGACATTGTGCGCGGATACTACTCGCGTAAACTAAACCGCGCTCTCAATATCATATCGTACGTTACGTTCGCAATTGTCCAGAGAAATTCATGGCTATCAGTGCGCATTGGAGAGGTAAAGCCCTCCTCATGCCAGGAGGACGATTAGAATTCGGGCCGCGACTTAAATTGACTACCGCACGTCGCTTTTTTATGGTCAAATGGCGTCGATCGCCAAATTGACGCGTTAATTATGAAACGAGCAATATCGCGGCTGCACGTACGAGCACGGAATACCGAATCGACCGCCCAATTTAACCCTTTGCAGTCCCACTCATTTGGTGAACCAGGTAGGATCAAATTATCCATTCATACGAAATAGCGGAAAGTGCGCAACAAGGCGAACTGTTAAAATAATTTTTACCATCAAAGTATTAATCGATATGAAATAACTGCGATAAATAACAATGCTTTTTCAACTCCGGTCATAAAATTAACAGATATGTTTATCTATTAATACACGTCGAAGTAAGAAAATTCATCTAAAGTAACAATGCTCTTCTCTCCAAGTAATATCCAATGATTTGCCTCCTCAAAGCAATGAAAACGGTCGACCTGGTAAATAATTTCACGGATTGCATCTTTTCGAAAACACTGATGCACGGCATCCACCGAGCACATTCAACCAATGATTCGCCTCGACTATAGTCTTTTAATACGGTCTTTTATTACAGTTGACATTTGGATGCAAGCCAGTCCAAGACTTTCTCTGCCATTCCTGCCCCTTTTCCCAACCTCCTTTTGCACTGCCGCTTCCATATTCAAGGATATTAACGGTAGACTACAGGCTCGCATGCAGAATGTATTTTCTACATTTTAAAATGAAACTGCAGTTGCCGCAAGTGCTGCTTAATGCGAAATTTTAATGACGGCAATTCCTCTTGAATAGCTCTCAGCGAATAGGCTCCCGGCGAGTCGTACAGTTTTACATTTATATTACCAATTGTTATATTATCATCTCTTCAAATGCCTGTCGTATTATACAATTATTATAAAAAGATATACACTCCTTTGAGAAAGAAGCAAAACAATCTGAAATTCTTTAAAATAAATAACTTTAGAAATGTCTGTACATTCGTGTCTACGTACTTTGGAGCATATGCCAATAGGGGCGATTTAATCTGAATAGTGAGGGCCGGATGAAATTATTTATATGAATTATTCGTAAAAGGAGACGGATCGTGAGATTATGAAAATTTATTTCAAAGGCGGATGAAACCAACTCGTAGCTAATGGTGAAAGCTAAGCGTGACACGTGCAACGAATGTAACGTTACTATTCAGCAACGTGACTGAATAGATTTGGTTCAATATCAGTCGTCTATAGAAGCGAGCGATCGTATAATCGTCGTTCGAACCAACGGATAGGGTTTCAACAATATCATTCACATGGCACTAAATCACTTTCTATTCATTAATCATCAAGCGGTAGGGTACGTCATAGTGGATTTATATCTCATTTCGGCATTTTGCTCGCTCCATTAAATTCGCGTGGGACGAGAATAAAAATCTCTTATTTCGATAATCACATTATATTACTGTATACAGTCGATTGACACTTAAACGAATTTTCGTAGCGCGCAAAATGGAAATTTTGCCACTATCTTTCTGTAGGACAAAACTTTTAGTAATAAAAAATGTTTTTTTCGCAATAAACCATCATTTCTAATCCGTATATAAACGTTCAATCTAGAAGTTACACTATTGTTCTAAAGACAACAATAAAAGTTTAATTTCAATTTATTATCTTGCAAGAAATGATTGACAATTATCGCAGGAAAATAATATTGTACTCAATTACGACGAAAACGCCACACATCTAGTAACACCGCGATGTACTATGAAAATATGGTGTGATGAGCCGCAAATTCCGTAATGATTATTGCCAACTAAAGTTAGCTTCGCGCAAATATTTCCGTAAGACCGTCGGAAGTTCAAACAACGCCGAGGCTCTCTCAGAGCCCCGGCTGGCGCAGAAAGCGACGTGTATGGCCAGCCGAGTATGAACAGACCGCATTCCCGCGGTCAACGAGTAGCGCGGGTCGTCGTTTGGTCGGGCAGTGGATACAGTTAAACGACATTGCTCAGCACTCAAGTAATTCTCGTTCTTTTGTACACGGCCAGCACGGAGCTGAGCTAATCCCTCCTGTACACGAATCTCTCGGCTCTCGGGGCTGATATTTTCCGGTACGATTGGACCCCTTTATGTGTACGTACTTTTGATTCGTGCCATTCGATCCTATCGCGTGAAAGTGCCGAGGTATGAAAGCAAAAATGAGCGAGGAAGCGTCGCGTTTATCTTCGTTAGAGATTGACGAATTTCATTCAGCCAAATAATTATTTTGTCAGAAATTAATGTCGTAATTCTTGGCGCGGCGTATTAAAAATACAAATCCTCGACGTAAATGATGCATGATAAGTAAGCTTCTTTCATAATCAATCATCGTTGAGAAGAAAAAAAAACTATCAATCATTTGTCCAAAGAATTTGTGCTGAAGGCGAGCGTGTTTCCTCTTTCGCTCGACAATCTCGTAAACAGAATAACGTACGGAACAAAGGGATACGCTTCATCTGTATTACCCTTTCATATAATCATATAACATATGGGAAGGTACCGCAGTTCGTCCTACTACGGATTACTCGCGGCGAAGATTAAACCCCGGCCATCGCGTACTATTTTCCTCCATATTTGCGAGCTGCCTTGCTGGCAAAGGCGAGAGCCTTGGGAAGTGAGCAGCGAGAGCTTTGATACCTCGCTCGAGAAATAATTCACTGTTTCGTTCGCTGAATTTCAAATCCCGGCGACAGGCAAACATCCGCCGACGCTTGGGTGAGCAGGGCTTAATAATTTATAATCCCTGTCAAAGCCGCGTGTCTCTTTCTTGAAAATACCACTCGTTTCTGAGGTCATCGGCTTCAAAGGATGCAAGGTGCGGAAACAACGGACGAGCTGTGTAGACTACTATTGCTCCCCCCCCCCCTCTCTCTCTCCTTCCCCTTTCGGTCCATCTTCATTACGCGAGATAATCCCGCGGGAACAATGCGTTATTCTCGTATGCTGTGCTAAATACATGTGTCAAAGAAAAAATTTGCGGCGTGGTATTAAATCGTTTTGTACCATCAGTAAAGTCGTTCGTTTTCGTTGAGCAATTTATCTAACAAATTGCCAAGGAAAAGCCTCTTTGACTATGATAATAACACATGACTGTATACATTATTTACATTCGAGCAAAAGCTCATTTTTGTACAATGCCCAAAACGGACGTTTCGTATAATTTAGAAAATAGAGAGGACTCCAATACAGTTATTATAATAGCTATAACAAGCATTATATTGTCTTTCTTGATTATCAATTGCATCTCCAATTAATTGCTTTCTACTTAACGTTTAAAATTTACACACATTTTGCTTATTAACGAAGAACACTTACCTAGAGTTTATATTCAATTTTTGTACAGATGTTTATCCACCCTTTTATCCGTTAAACACTATCGGGAAGATTATCTGCTGTTGCAGAGTGGCGGCCAGAGTGGTGTATGGACGGTAAGCGTGATTATACTGTCGATTGGCACCTGGGTGGGCAGAGTCGGGCCACGTCCAGCGGATGGCGAGCTCGCGCTTCTGACGTCGCCGCGTGAGCGATTGGAAACCGTTCGACAGGTTCTTTCTGAGGTGCCTTTGATCGACGGCCACAATGACCTACCGTGGAACATCCGCAATTTCCTCCATAACCAGTTGGCGGAGTTCGATTTCGACAAGGATCTACGTCAAGTCGCGCCCTGGAGCAAAAGCGCGTGGAGTCAAACCGATTTGGTCAGACTGCGGCAGGGCATGGTCGGCGGTCAGGTAATTGCAAGGCTACGCGCACAGTCGTGTATTCAAAGAAAATTCCTAAGTAAAATAATAAGATGATTTTATTTACTCTTAATAAGATACTCTTCGATGGATGAAGCTCAATATTATTTGAACAGAACCTCGCATAACTTTGTCTGTAATTGTCAAAATTAGAATTGATTATCAAATTTCTCACATGTTTAATGCAAAATGCACGTGTTCCTGTATGCTTTTAACAATCTTTCTCGATATCTCAATCCAGTAGTTATCTACGCAAGATGCGTTCGGAAAGCGGCTTGTTATTGTTTGATATTATGCAATGTAATAAGCAATCTAGACTCGGATGTTGCGCGGAAACTATGCTAGAGATGACTAGGCGAGTTTCAGGTGTCGGCGATATTATGAGCGTGACGGATTGAATGCATCGATTATCATCGCATGCGAGCACTCAGGAGCTCGTTAGGTCTGAATGATGCGAGCATTAAGCGCATATCACGCTTGCACGCACACATATATTGTAGAAATGATAGTGATCTAAAGGGAAATAGTTGTTGTGTGCAGGATAACAAACGAAATGTAATAATCTCGTCGGGCCTTTCTCTTTATTTTGCTAGTAAGATTTGAAATAATTCTGCGTATGAGACAAATATCGTTCTAATAAAATGCAACAATTACGCGGGAAGTTGTGCCGGACTGGAATTTAAAAGATAAAACACTTTTTCTAACGCAAACAACACTGCAAAGAGCGCAAGCAGCTTGCATTCTTCTTTTGTAAAGTGAAGATTTTCTCGACGTTTCTCTTTAAATATACGAAAGTACGGTTACTCACATCTGAAAATCTTTTCCAACAATTATGCAACATCGCATCAACGATTCTTTTCTAGTTTTGGGCCGCTTACGTGCCATGCGAATCTCAGCATCTTAACGCGGTTCAGCTGACTCTGGAGCAAGTGGACCTCATTAAGAGGCTCATAGAAAAATACTCCCAGCACATGCAATTTGCTGCATCGTCAAGGGGTAAGTACAGCTCGCCGTAATGCGAGCCGTAATGTGCCACGATCGACAAAGCGACAGCTCTATTCAACTACATTTTTGACTTCTAGAGATTTTGGAAGCTCACGGGAGGGGCAGAATAGCTTCCCTGATTGGAGTGGAGGGTGGGCATAGTCTAGGAAGTAGTTTAGCCGTTTTAAGAACACTTTACCAGTTGGGTGTACGGTACCTTACACTGACACACACCTGCAACACTCCGTGGGCGAAAAGTTCGTCGGTGGAAGACGACGATGAAGATGGTAAATTAGATGCAAGTTTGGAATAAACATCTTCTTCAGAATGAGTGGAGCTAAAACTTGCGAATTTAATCTCATAAAGATTCATGGATCCACAAGTAGTTCAGAAATTAAACTACAGTAAAAATTTTTAATAAATAAAATGTCTCTGTTCATATATTTTGTTCCGATACGTTTTTTAAAAGTAATACAGCAATATTAATATTACATTAAACATCAGACTCTATTACTTTAAATTATTTTGATATAATATTGAACATTATTTAATGCCATATTATATTAAAATATATTTTGTATAACATATAAATTTTCTCTTTGGCATAGAATGTATCGCAATATTTGGCTACTTAAATTAGAAATTGTGACTAAATGTTAATGCGTAACACTACATATATTAAATATGTAATAGATGATGCAAGAGCTATTATTAATACTGTTTGACTAACTTAAAAGATTTACATCGCAGTCTTTTTAACGTAGATCCACAAGAACATAAAATAACGTTATTACGTCTTTCAGGCGGAGGTCTGACGACATTCGGTGAGACGGTAGTTAAAGAAATGAATAGGCTCGGAATGCTGATAGACCTCAGTCATACTTCAAGGGCAACTATGAGGGATGCTCTAAGAGTCAGTAAAGCGCCACTCATTTTTTCACACTCTTCTGCGTTCGCTATTTGTAATTCTTCCAGAAACGTGCCCGACGATATTCTTAAGCAACTGGTAAGTGCACAGAAATTTTCATAGTCCGTAAAATGCATTTAACTTTGTTAGAAGTTGTTTCGTTAATTGCTTGAAGTAAAAAGAAGAGACATTTATTTCAATTACAATATAACTTTCAAGAGTTGAAGCGGAACTATATAAAAATTCTTTCACGACCCTTTCATAGAAAACATTTCGCGTGCTAATTGCAACAACGATAATTATATAAGAACGATCAGTGCGGGTTAAACGACCTTCTCGCGGCAAAATTCGCGCCCTGTAAACGCGAAAATAGACAACTGGCGATACGAAGGAGCAACGCGATGTGCCGGCGATAAAAACCCTTTCCTTTTTCTCTATCTGCCTTCTCAGATCTTCTTTCAACGAACAGATAATTATCCTGGGGCGGGCGGCTAGAGTTCGAATAGCACCTCGAAACATTTACCGACGGCGATTCCTTTCTATTGTCGAGTTTTGTGCTCCATTAAGAAGCGCCCGGTTCACTTGAGCTCGTTAAGAGGCGAATTATCAAGGTCGAAAATTAACGGCACCGAGTCGACGGTGAATGCGGTACCGCGATAACGAGGTCTCCCTTCCGGCGCTCGTCGATTTTATCGATCCCTCTGTCGCTCGGGGGGGTTGTACGTTTCGTTTCCGAAGCAAAGGCACGGCTAGGGTACAGTTTTCCCCGTGCGCTAGCGGAAAATTACGTGTTACACCTCTCATTGAGCTGGCTTGAAATTCCCGGTGCGACGGTGCGAGGCACGTTCAAATCGCACAACTGTAGAATTACGCGCTCCATTCTCACGTGCTTGTTTCCAGGCTGATAACGGCGGACTGGTGATGGTCACGTTTTACAATTATTTCGTGAAATGCGGGCCCCAAGCCAGCGTCTCGGACGTGGCCGAGCACATATATTACATTAGAAACCTGATTGGTGTGGACCATATCGGAGTCGGCGGAGATTTCGACGGCATCAACAAGTACGTTGGGGACGTGAGATAAGTCGGCGTGAAATTTATTTGTAACATCTTTGAAAATATCTATTGGCAGTCGCGTCTTGATTCTCATGCAATTTGCATGCGCGAATATCAGTGATAACTTAAGCTGGAGAATTCAACGATCGCAAACATCAATCGATCGCGAAGAGTCGATCCTTTACTTTGACGAATTAATCCCCAGTAAATTATTTCCTACATAATTTTCTCCGCAATAAAGAGAAAATGAAAATCGCGTTTCTAATTACGTGTGAAACCTCTTCCTCTCTCCGTAGAACTCCTCGTGGTCTCGAAGATGTTTCGAAGTATCCCGAACTATTCGCCGAACTTCTCCGGAGTGGCAAGTGGAACGTGCTTGACCTAAAGAAAGTCGCTGGCTTGAATTTACTGCGAGTCCTCAAACAGGTTAGAGTCGATTAAAGTCCGAAGGTGCGGTTACATATATATATACATACATATATTTACATACCTTATGTTTCGGCGGGCCTTAATACATCATATTTTTACCGTAGCACTACGAATTTCTGATACATTGCACAACTGCGCATCTACATAACTTTCTTCTATTCATAAATTGCCTTTAAATATTTAACCAGCGTGAAAAGTAATGATAACAAATTTTCATTGCGCGATGATCATTATTAGGGGAAAGTCTATTATCAGACAACAGGTTTTCAACATCCAAATTCAACCACAAAGCTCTTTTTCGCAACGATTACATGATCTAACGATAAATTTTCCACTAAACAAATTTCACTTCTAGGACAATAAATTTATGATGGGACCGACACATGATATTAATTTAGCAGAAACTCCGCTATCTCATATGAAGAGACTTTCTGCTATTATTTTGTTCACAGCTTTAATCTATCATAAAAAAATAAAACACAAAAGAACATTATTAAAGCACATTTTTTCTAAGCTTACAACATAATAATTCTATAAGGCAATATTAACAATTATTATACCGATGACATTAATATCGTTACGATGCCATTGATGTAAATAATATATTGCATCAGGTAGAGCGTGTGAGGGACGACCTGAGGACAGCTGGAGTTACGCCGCTCGAGGAATATCTTCCAGACTCACCGGACACGATCGGCAACTGTGCTCTGGATATTAACTCCGTGCAAAGGGTCACGGAAGTCTGATCGATCGACTGTACGCACCGCCCGACGACACGCGAATTAATCTTACGCCAACACGACCGTTCCGTGCAGATGGGCATGGCCGGAAGACAACCAGTCATGCCAGGAACGCGGTTCCTCGGCGAAAATTCGATTATCACGTTCACTACGACTTATTGTACGCCCGCGAAAGTTCTTCGAACCTCGTGCGAAAGCTCAATTAAACGTCGACATTTGCGAAGGCTCAAAATAAACCTACCTCGATACCTGTTTCACAAAGGCGACGGGCAGCGGATATCGATTATGCTTTATTTAAAGGGAGGCACGTTCGCGCGTTATTATTAAGAGGCAACCAGAAATTATGTGTCGCTCATAAATAATCATAAAAAATATTCTCGTAAGCTGTTATTTTTTTGTATTTAGAAGAAACAACGTTAATAATAGCGAAGAAAATCTATATATTTAAAAATAATTCTTTTCTAGTACGACACTCATCTGGCTTCTCCGGTTATACACAGGTATAATGAATTTATTTATTCAAATTTCAAATTTATATGTTACAACATTTAATTGCAGAATGATCGGTGTTCGTCGCCATTTATTACCCGTAATACACAAACTGACTTTTCTACTTGATAAAATTCTAGCGATTCGTTAACAAGCTGGTCATTACTTTAAGAACTGTACTATCTTGCTGCAAATATCTTCACGAGCATGTAAATATCTAAACGATAAGCGACACGCCATCCAGTATTTTCGTGAAGATAAAGCGTCATTTCGCCGATGCACGTGAGACTGTTTCTAAACTTCGATGTCTTCCTCTCCTGGAAACGATCGTAATATGTGTGTGAAACTGTGAACCCCGGCTGTATACCTTTGAACGTCTTCCTTCCCCTCATTGCACCAACGAAAACACGTGCTCTATAAAGCGAAAGCCTGTAGAAGGAAGAATCAACGTTCCTACGAGCAACATAATCAACAATATTCTTACATTATTTTCTTCCGTGCATTTCTAAACATTTTTTTATTTTTTTACAGCTAAAGTGCCTGATCGCAGTTGATTACATTACGATGATTTAAAGGATTTATATTTATATTTTTATACCAAGAATTACATAATATTATCATTAAGAAGTATTTTGCTATAGGTTAATTTTTATTTCTACACCATATGTGTGTGTGTAACCAGAATTGAATTTTAAAATTAATACGTAATAGCTATCTTTTATATAAAGATTCCTTACAGTTGCTTCATTATTTAAAGTATTTAAAATTTAAAACATGTCATATAATCAGTAAATATAATAACTTAAAGTATCTACACACTAACATTATTTTTTCAACGATTATCTGAAAATTATTAAGTTACCAAAAACTTGCAAGCTGTAGTAATTTCAAATAGTTAAAATTGCTGCTACACGAATTATCTATCTCCGGACTTTCTATCGTCAAAACTCAAACTTACACATATCAAAGTGAAAAGTTAAAATTACTCATATTTTATACAGCCAAAACCATTCTAGTTTTGCACTAAATTGCTCACGATGAAGCTCGGAGTTACGGAGTTTATGAGAATATTACAGTCGCATACAACCCGAATATGTTGCTCGCGGGTATCGATGAGGACGTAGTTGATGACGTACGTGTTTTTCGACGCATTATATGCCGGATTGCAATCTATCGTTAAAACGCACCCGGCAGTTTCCTTGATCAAAGCATCATCTAAAGTCTAAAGACGGGACATGTGAAATTGCCTGGAATAATCGGCCGAGATTATAAACGAGATCGCTTTTGCGCCAGTTTGTTCCTGGTAATTTTTATATATCGCCGTCCACCTATCTGTGTCTCGTGTGCACTTATTATATAATTCGCGCAGGATGAAACCCTCGATCAGAATTGTTTAAGAATCGACGATTCGGACAAGAAATTAATCAGTTTGCGCGAATTATACCTCGCTCCGCCGTTGGGAGTGGGTGATAAATTCTAGGATATCAAAAGTTTCGTTGTATCTCTCGAACGAATTCTATAAATAAATGTTTCTATTGTAGCTTTACTAGATTCCCTTCTCTCCGATACACGCGCATACGCTGTATTATTTAAATAACATATATTTAAATCAAGATCTGCTTGTGATAACTTAATAATCTTCAATCTTGAATAATTTAAAACTTGCTTTTAATATGTAATTTGTAATTTAAAAAATTTATATTATTCATTCGTAAAGAATTCGTAGTTTATCAAACCTAGAAGTTCGATTTATACATCAAAATCTAATGAAAGGTATGCAAGGACTATGCAAAATAAACTTAACTTTATTATCCAGTGCGATAATCTTATACAAACGATGTATCATACATAACTTCTTAATCGTAACACGTAATAATTACATAAAGGAATGATGATCGATGATAATGTAAGAGAGAGACAATGGTATTATTTTACAAAGTGTAAATAGATGGGCACTAATCGTTAATATGGCTAAAACTTACATCTAATGTCGAAATGAAGGAAATGTTATTTACAGACGATTCACAAGGTACATGATCTACGTTGACTGACGTTTCAACACATCAGAGATGATCTCAGCCACTGTAAAAAGAATCCGCGGTTTAGCGTAATTTTGAATAACTTACGTCCTACGTAATCGTAAAAGAAAATGATATCGTATTCTTGATAGAATTTTTATGTACCTCTGACAAGCTTAATTTTATCGTTCCATTTTGCAAAGGATCCTTACTCTCGAATATTCCTGGGTGAATGTAAAATACTCAATTAACACAAAATATTTAAAAGCCTATAAATCAGATTAGATTAAGAAATAATAGGGAATCTCATAATAAACGTACCAAATGCGTCGCTCAAGTGTAAGATCGCCGACACAAAGTCGCCGAATCGAAGAGTACCGTCTTTCCTCATGTATCGAAGAATTAAAATGGATAATACGTCCGTATTTAATTGAAAACCTGAGGTAGAAGTTACGATTACACGACGATAAAACAGAATGTTTAGTCTGCAGCACGGTACTACAGTTTCTTCTTACGTACCGACTTCTAGCAGAGCATCTCGCAGTCTTTCCGCCTTGAGTATACCCGTCTTTTCCTTCGTATGATTCTTAAAAGCAGCTTGCCAGTACTTTAAACTGCACATAAGATCTTTGAAGTCATTGAACTTCAACCGGCCACTCCCAGAACTCTGTTTAGAGGCGCGAGAAATGTAAGGAAATTATTGTTTGTCATATATTCCATTATCCAAAAGTAAAAAAAATTAACAGATAGATTTTATAAAATTTTAATTAAATATCGACGTGTGCCGTTAATGTAAATTATCTAAACATAAAGCTGTGTTCTAACCCATACAAACAATTGTCTAATAAAAAGCCTATGGATAGACTGCAAATTTATAGATAAAAAGTTATCAATATATTCTAAAAGGTAAAGTTTCATTGAAAGGATACATCCATAGTTAACACTACTTGTCGGCAGACTTCCATGCAGGCACAGCTTTTGATGTAATCTAGAAATTAAAGAGAAAGCATTTATTTAGATTAATATTACACAATATTTTAGTGCATTCTACTTCTGGCAAAGTTTCTTGTATCTTTTACGATATACCATTTGGTAAACAGGCTTCTAAAAGCTCCTGCAGCTCAAAGGCGTTTACAGTTCTGTGCTCGTCGGCGAGCTGCAGAAACACTGCTTCGTATTGAGAGAAGCCTTTTCCTTCGAGGGGAGGCGCCTTAACAATTGCCGATTTCATTAACGACGGCGGGGTGTCTAACAATCTGAAACATTGATGATATGTACATATGTAGAATACGGAATCTTGCCACTCCCTCTTCCAGTCTAGAACACAATGTATGATAATCCGAAAGCAAAATTTTACATATTTTAAATTTCGCACACAAAGCAACTTTAATAATAGAATAGTATATAACAAACTAAAGCCACTTAAAGAAGAAAAGACTATCGAACATACAAAGGCAGCAAATCATTTCGTCGAAGATAAAACTTTTGATGTATTACATTTCCTTAACAAAAGGATTTGTGCTCGAGCGAGGCAATTACATGATACGTCCTTTGAAATATGGTTGAGAGAGGATTTTAAAACTATAGTTAAAGACGGGCGTATAACATATCCTCACACGAGTTAATGTATGCTGCACATTAAATGCACCGAGGCGGCCATACGATCCTTTGTGCCGCCTCGTGCAAGCATATATGACATCGGCAAATGCATATACCTACTTGAGCTTTAGAGGCTTACTGCTGTAGACCCGTAATGTGAAACTCGTTTCTTGAGTCGGCTCGAAGGTCGTAGGTACCAGCAGGTAACCACCCTGCTCGAGCTGACACCTGTGGCTCACCTGCCGACTATTCGTGTATTGGGAATTAACTAAGGACTTGTTCTTCTTGAAAAACTGTTTGTTTATCGATTCGGTGCTGTTCTTCGGCAGCGTATACGCTGTAAAGCCGATCACCTGAAGGCAGAGGCGAAGGTTCGATAAGCCAATTTGATAAGAGACACATTGGACGATATTCGGAATATTTCGGAAAGGCTCCTTACTTTCGGCTCCATAATCGAATGCTGATTCAATGAAACGATCACTTCCTCCATCTCGCTTAGAATCAGATGCAGCTGTGGATTTATATGAAAGGTTTCTGCGCCGAAAAAGAATACGCAATCGTTAGCTAATTATTTATATAACTTAAATAGACTGAGTTTCGAATCAACTGATTATGGTTTTTATATTTCATATAGCAATAATGTTAGTGATAATGCAATAGTATTAGTGATAACGCGCAGACTTGCAACGCAATAATCGAACCTTGATTATTTCGACACCCTCCCGCAGTGACGCCCCTCCTCCAGCTTCCCTGATACAATTTCATTTGCCAAGTGTGTTTACTGTGTAACGACGGTTCATCTCTCGAAGTTTCAGCATCCAGATGCACAACTTCCAGGTGAGTAAACGTCTTAACGAAATCTGAGTATGATATCCTGCAAACAGTAACACAATACAGTTGGAACATTTCATAACTTTAGCAAAGTTTAGTCTAACTCGGGCATTAATTGCGGAAACTATTCAACGACATCTAATCCCAAATATTTGCAGCTTCAATTATTTTCGTTGAATAAATAACATAATATTTGCGTTTAGCCAATTTAAGCTAACTCGATCGCTTTTCTGACGTTATATTATTTGCGATACATTAGAAATTATACTTCCGCTGTCTCTTTGTGCACTCACCAAAATTCTCCTTCGGCCATATTTCTTACAGCTAGTCGTTCCCTTTCCATTGCTGGCACTTCGTCCCATTCAAGCCCACCTCTCGCCCAAGCACCAACGTATTCCCCACCGGGCCCAAGAGGATTCCTTAATTTTACTAATTGCACCGCTTCCCCTCCAAAAGTTTCCACCTACAATACCGAGATTAATGCCATTCCTTCAGACATTTCATTTTATCAATCTCGTTGTTCCTATGATTTATTTAGATGCGTATAAAAATGCAGAATGCGACTGACATACTGACCCTCTCAATCGCGTACAATCTGTAATTGATTCCCATTTGTATTCCATTAGCAAGCTTTTCTGTGCTGGCACGTATCTAAGATAGAAAAACACGCGTATGAGCAAAGTGTTGGGAAGAATTTCAGCCTCTTTGAATATCCCGTACCTGTTGTTGATTATTATTTACTGTACAAGTAATAAGAGACGTCATGTCCAAGAGTTTCGACAACGCTCGTCCACAAGCTGTGGGATCCTGACGAATCGCGATGCTTTCGGTAATACCACCCGTGAGATCAGACAAGCCATCCAGTAATGTACCATATTTCAGTGCCTCGTAAGAACCGTGAAGTCTGAAAATAACGACATTTAAACATTTATTTTATATTTATGCATATAAGCGTAAGGTAATGTCTATTATTTTACAGTTACGACATTATCCATTCAGTAATCAATAAGACATTTAAAAAGTATCAAATACTTTTAAGTAAAATTTGAGGTAACAGTTAGATATGCATGTAAATATTACTTAATAACTCCATAAAAATAAAAATATCACGATGAATCACGCAGCATAATATTATATTTAATGGTGACAATCCGTTATCAGAATTTCGCCCACGCTTAATTCTCTGTCTCCTTC